AGGTCTCGATCTTGCCTGGCAGAAGAGGTGTAGGAAGGTTGAACTGAACCTGGACTCCTCTACTGCAGTGGCTCTCATCCAGAATAGGAAGGACACCAATCATATTTATGGCTTGTTAGTCAAGCATATTGCCAGCATTTTGGATAGAGAGTGGGATGTTAGGATCTCACATGTCTATAGAGAAAGTAATTGTGCAACCGATTTTTTGACAAATAGGGGTCACTTGTTTCCTTTTGGCACACATCTATTCGATGAGTGTGACCCGAACCTTTTGTACTGGCTCTACTATGATACCATGGAGACAACCATGGATCGTGATATTCCTAATATGAGTTAGACGCCCTTGGCGTCTGTTTTCTACCAAAAAAAAAAAGGAACCACATCAGACAACATTTTACTCCATCCCTTAAAACCAATAATTCCATAAGAAATAATGGAGCAACAAAACCCGCGTAGTGTTTGCCCGAAGGCTAATAATAACATTTCCATTTTAAGTGAAATCAACACAGCCAATCCTGCCACCATTTGAGCGAACCCTATCAAATCTAACAAGTACTCCCCCATTCATGCATGAGCAAACCTGTGCTTGTCGTAGAGTATTCCTCGCTCCCGTCACTTGCTTGGTCCGTACTTTCTCGTCAATGTACAGTGGTAGCAATGTAGATGCAACAAGCTATTCCTGACCATGGCAATTTGTTCACTCGGATTTGACATAAAAAATCTCATTGGGAATTTAGGGCTGAAAATTTGTCTGTCATGTCCCGTTCCTAAAGGGTCAGCTTGCATAACTGACCCGTCCCGTCCGTCTCTATTCCCTTCTTGTCAGCTACTAAAAGCAAGCCTTAACTATTCAGAGGTCATTCCCAAAACAATCAGTTTATCAGTTCCAAAAATCAAAACCCAGAAAGCCAATATCAGTTTACAGACAATCTAGACCGATGATAGAAAAACCCAGATGAGAAATCGCAAAATGACATATGGAGGTGTGAGATTGTGAGGGATGGAGATTGTGAGGGATGGAGGAACAATAATCGTGGTGTTAATGATGTGGAGGAAGTTCGCTTGTTGGGGAGATCAGGTAGAAGAAGAGGAACAATGATACATTTTCCTAGTGAACACAAAAAGGAAAGGCAGCATTCCCAATTCCCATCCATCCTTCTGTACAAAAAAGAACACAATCCTCAGTACCAACCACAAACCTCTGACAGGAAATCCATATCACAAGTACTAGTACTGTGACCGGCCCGTTGGCCGGTTGATGGCTTTTCTGGTGAATTCAGTAGGTCTCTTTTCTATTAAGGATTAGTAGGAGGTAAGTCTTAAGTGGATTTTGATTGGCCATGGAGGGTGATTTTTAAGAATGTTCATTGTGGACAACGCCTCTTCCATCTCTCACGCTTCTTGTTCATCTTTCCTAAGATTACCCAAGTATACAATTACCCAATTCGAATTCTACTACATCGTCCCAGATTTGTAGTAAGAGAAACTTATTCAGCTCATACACTAGACATTGATCCAAACTAAAGAGAACTCTTTAGATCCATAGACAGAAGTTAATGCGCCCCTATCCCCCAACCCTAAACAGTATCCCATTGCAGCGCACTTCATTCTGGAAGCGAAGAAACTACATCTCTACAGCGATAATTTCACGCTAAATGACTTAAAGGGTCGTTTGGCTAAGGAATTCTAATGGATCAATCTGACACAATTGTCTCGTTTTGAGTCAATTGTGTTAGATTGATCCGTTTGGCAGCAGAAAATTTGGATGAAGCAATTTGACCTAGGGAATTCTTAATTGACTCATTTTGAGCCAATTACAATTGTCTGGGTGGGGGCAGGTAATCTGAATTGACTCGTTTTAAATGACTCGTTTTGTAAAATGAAACAATTGGTCAAATTGTCTCGTTTTACAATTGATCCATCCAAAAGAATCAAAAGCCTGAATGACAAGAAACCCTAATTCGTTAGCCAGCTGACAGTGTAATCAACGGAAATGGGAGAAAATAATAAGAAGAAGCAAAGAGACGGACTGAATCGAAAACGTTGCGAGCAAACGTTGGAGCGAATTGCAGAGCAAAATTACGCACAGATTAGGAGCAGAACAAGGTACCTTCTATAGAGAAATGAGCTGAAATGATGAGTTGATGGAGAGCCCAGAAGAAGGAGACTGGCGGAGGCCACGGCGGCGGTGTCTGGTGGAGCTGCTCCGAACGTAGCAGAGCTGACCAACTTCCAAAAGGTCTGGGATTCAGATTGAAGATCCCCTTCTGTTACTGAATCGTGATTTTGCTCCCCTGACCTAGCCCTGGATTTACGATTGATAAGGTCCCTTTCTGTCGATGAGAAAGAATGAAGAAGTCGCCCTCGCCGAGAATCGGTGGACGAGGCCTGGGATGGACGCCGGAGGCAGTCGTCGAATCGGTGATTTCAGGGGAGGGCTTTTTTTAGTCGATGAGAAGCGAGGGCGACGGGACACGGGGTCTGAATTCTGAAATCGAAGGTGGGTTCCGGGTAGGGGTGTGCAATGTTCCGGTCCGTATCGGACCACACCGGATCAAACGGTTGTTAAGACCGGACCGGACTAGACCGAGTAAAATGCGGTCCGGTCTTTGGTCCTCGTGAATTTTATTATTACTGAAGAAATGATGGTCCGAGCTCATATTTGGACCGGATCGAACCGGACCAAATGCAAGAACGGTCCGGTCCTTGGTCCTAACATGTCTTTCATTAATGGACCGCAGTTCTCATGAGTTTGGTCTGGTCCGGACCGAACCGTTGCACACCCCTAGTTCCGGGTATCAGGGTCTTTGGGTATTTTAGGGTCAGAGACCAGTTTGACCCGTCAATCTTTCATCTACATTCTACACATAATATAATACACCGAAGGGAAAAACGGGAGCCCCATTTCATATTTTCTGCAACGAGAGTGAAAGTAGGAAGGAAATTTTGGTCTTCGCAATTACTTTTTTTTATTCATTAAAAAGACACGTAGTGGGATTCGAACCATTACCATTTTAAGAAAAAGTAAGGATCATAACCAATCACACTAAATACATTTGTTGTATCTTTTTAAATGAAAAACATATAATAGTAGGGAGGAAAAAACCATTTCCCCATTTCAAATTCCCTGCTCAAGGAGCATTTGTAGGAATGATAGAGTAGGGAGTGTAAATTTTTTCCTCTTTCCTCTGTGGAACCGGCCAACTTATCGTACACATGCGGATTTAAACGGGTTCAGGAGTGTCAATTTTTTTTCATTAAGCCCTTTTATTTCTCCGTGGTGATAAAATATATATAAAAGGCAAAAACAATACTTCTTTTTATTGTAAAAAATAAAAAATTTAACAATTAACTAATGCATGGTATCTAATGGGCTAACCGCTAACCATAAAATAAAAGAGTTGAATTGGCTTGACCTACACGAGATTTGGCCATCAAGTAAAACAAATGAACATCATTGGTTTGACATTCTAAAACAAGCTATTTTCTATGGCATAATATATATTATGCTATTATTTTATATCTTAGTAGCTAAAATATAATGTATTTTAAAGTTATTCAATAGTTCAACCTCGACCAACCCAATTAGTCCAATTTTTATCATTTTAAATATATATTATATAATTATTTGATATCATAATGATCAAATTATAGTGTATTTTATAGGGAATCGTTTGGTATTTGTTAGTAAAAAACTAAACAGAAAGATCTATTTGGTTATTTTAAACATTAAAACGATCCTAACATTTTCAGTTCTTTTTGAATTTCTATGGTTTTATTCCCAAATAAGTGATGTGCAAATGGAAAATTGCAGTCATTTCTTTTCTTTCACTATTTTTTATTTTCAAATAGAAAGTTTAAAAGTAAAGAATAATTAGAATTTGGCATGGGTCGGTCAAACAGGCTGCATTTCTAGTTTTGGTCTGTTTTGATCAAGTCTAATTTATAATCACATGGTTCCCTGATACCCGATAAAAATCTCAATCCAAACCAGTTTGGCAGGTGAGTCCGTGTTTACCACCATTTTCTAGAGATACAACAACGACGGTTCCTATCCCAAATCGTGTTGTTCGTTCTTGATTTCCTTAGATTTTATCATGGCCTGAAAAAAAAAAAAACAGAAAGCACAATGACGAGAAGGTGAAAGTTTTATAAACCAAATTAATCGGCAAACGGGCCGAGAAAAAGCTAGCAACGATTGTGAGATGCTCATTTCCCGAAAACCGACGGGATAGGCGATTTTTTATTCGATTTTCTGGAATTCGGTTTCTATAAAACTTACTCCACCTCATCATATTACCAGAAACAATATTGTTTCACAAGGTAACAGGTACTTGATTTTGGTTCATAAGGCCGATTTTTGATTTGTTGCATCATTAATGTCTCTTTCCTGCTAAAATTCACTATTTTTATAACGTGTTTCCCAAAAAAACTATACAACAATAAGCTATACACCCCATTACATTATCAAATTTTATACCTCACCTTTCTCTGGCTAACTGGCCGGGTCACACGCTAGTTTTGATGATATGGGACATGAACTTGTCATATCATTTGCTGAGGGTCTTACAAGAACAAAATAAAATAGGTTTATCTTTTTTCATATAATCTCTCAAATGTTTGAATTGGACCGCAATGGAGTCCTCTAAACAAACATAATCTTCCTTTGAGAAGTGGTCAACTTATAATTGTTCAAGTTATCTAGAATCTCTTTAAAAAAAGGTTCTATAAAGAATAGTGTTTCTTGTGTTGATTGAGTCAACCTAACATACAACCAATCTTTGTTGATCATGATTCCTCAACACAGATGGATGCAACTTAACTCCAAAACGGCAAAATCCCTTTTCCTCTTCCCTGTACCGCCAAACCATTACCCGCCAAAAGGCAACCTCCACCAAAACCTCAAGAACCCAAAACTGTGTGTGGACTAATGGCGGGTTTGGTTTTCTTCTTCCCTTCTCACAATCCCAAAACTTTCCACATTTCCCAAAAAAACCCAGATGTCATTTCTCAGAACTTCCCTCTTTTTCATACTCTTACTCCCCTCAATTGCTCCACTCTGTTCTTCAGCTATCACTCTGAAGCAGCAAAACGCAACTTCTCCTTGCCCTTTCAACTTCAACCCAATCAAAACCCTGATCGCGGAAATAAATCCCACCAACAGAACGACTCAATGCCGAGTCCTCTCCAACGGAATCCTCCTCCTGCGCTCCCGATTCCTCCGCTCCACCGGCAAATTCCTCCCACCGCCTGCCGTCATCCAAGCCTGCCGGCGATCTTACCAGAACTGGATCGGGAAAACCCATTTCCGCGGCTTGAATATCGAATCGGATTGCGGGCGGGATATGGAGGCGGCTTTCGGGTCGTGCGGAAACATCACGACCCGGATCCAGTTTGAAACCCGGTTCCCAAAGTCGGAGCTCCGGGAATTGGAATCCTTTTGCAACGATTCACTGGAGAATCGGTTCCCCTGCCGCGGCTGCGCCCACAAATTCACCACTCTTGCTGAATTGCACTTCCCTCCTGGTGGCCATTGTGCGAGGAATTACATGCTGATGTATGTCTCGGCTTTCCTGACGAATCACGGCCCGGGTCACGCCTCGACGGTCAAGTGCTTCTTCAGGTTGAGGCAGAGCAACCCTGTCGCGGCGGCGATCCCATCTCAGAATAGTCGAGGAAGACGACGTTGGATGGTCGCTTTTGCGATTTTCGGCTATGTCTTAGGTGCATTGGCCGTGGTGATGATGGCGGTGTCGGTGACATGGGTGGTTCGCAGGAAATGTAGATGCAGTGAAGTGAAGAGTACTGTTGTGAGAGTTGTTGATGAGCAGAATGAGAGCTGCGAGACGAGCATCGATCTGGGATCTGAGTCGCGAAGGCGCAACATTACGAAGTTCAGTCTAAGTGAAATTAGGGAGGCGACGATGAATTTCTCTAGGGAGAACATAATCGGTCAAGGATGCTATGGAAATGTGTACCGAGGAACGTTGCAGGATGGCACTGGAGTTGCGGTCAAGAGGTTTAAGAATAGTTCGAGGTCATCCTTCGGGGATGAGACTTTTGCCCACGAGGTTAGTACGCCCGAGAAAAATTTTCACTTTTATATTTGATCAACTTTCATCGAGTTTATTGGAGTTTTGATCTCTTACAAAGGTTGAGATAATTGCAAGTGTCAAGCACGTAAATCTCCTTGCTCTGAGAGGGTACTGTGTGACAAGGGCCGGCCAGAAAAGTAAGCAGAGAATCATCGTCAGCGACTTGATGCGGAATGGGAGCGTACATGATCATCTCTTCCTTCCCGGGGGAGAAAAATGTTTGCTTCCCTGGCCAATTCGCCTCAAAATAGCATTGGGAACGGCTCGCGGATTGGCCTACTTACACTACGGGGTCCATCCAGCAATCATCCACCGCGACATCAAGGCTAGCAACATTCTACTGGACGAGTTGTTCGAGCCCAAGCTGGCCGATTTCGGGCTGGCAAGGTTCGACGACTCGCAAGGGAGGACGCATTTGAGCACGGGGGCGGCTGGAACGCTAGGCTACGTGGCCCCGGAATACGCCCTGTATGGAAGACTGACCGAGAAGAGCGATGTGTACAGCTTCGGTGTTGTGTTGCTCGAGCTGTTGAGCGGGCACAAGGCTTACGAGCTAGTTGATGACGACGATGAGGAGGCAGGGGAAGTGAGGCTGTTGGGGGAGTGGGCTTGGAGATTGGTACAACAACAAGAGGGGGATGCGATTGAAGTTGTCGAGAAGGGCTTGTCGGGATCTTGGCCTGGTCCGATGATGGAGAGGTTTGTTCACCTTGCTGTGATCTGCGCACATCCTGTGGAGCAGGCGAGGCCAACAATGGAGCAAGTGGTGAAGATTTTGGAGAAGTTCTGTGATGGTGAAGAGTACGACTTGGCTTGTACTCATGCAGCTGAGAGCAGCAGTGATTCATACACAAGGTGTGATGAGATTAGTTCAGATAGGGACCCCAAATGAAGAAGGTGTCTTGAACTCTGCAGTTTCGAGCGTCTCGATTTATGTTGCTTGTTGTTGATCTCTTGCCAGGAGCCCCAAAGTGTAAAAATGGACGGGGGAAATATTCAGTTCATGTCTTGAACAAGATCAAAGCAACAAGTGTGAATCAGACGGAAACACCATCCAATGATCAAGAATTAGCAAAGAACTCTAATTTTCTCGGCCTAGCCTGCTTGAGATGACGATCTCTTTCTTTCATAGCCTGTTAACTATTTAGCATTTTAAGAAGGAAAACTTATAATACAACGTCTCTGAATCCTTAGCAAACACAACCTTTCCTCCACCTCCAAACTCTTAAGGCATTCACATTAGTCAGATGGAATCAAATAATCAGGTTCATCAAGTTCCAGTTCAAAGTGGAATTATACACCATCATAGGGCAACATATGACACCAACAAACTAAAAAATCAAATGAATCATTCATTGAATTCCACATCATAAATAGTTGTTGAAATTTATCAAAAGTATGTAGCACTTATTGAGAGAGTTTAAATGGATTTTCTACTCTGAACCAAATCATTGTAGCTTCCGTTATACATACCCAGCAAATTCTGATAGCTAGGAATTGGTGTAGAGAAGCAAATGGTTCTAGACTGGAAAACCTTCCAACGACCAAAAGCACCATATGTCATTTGGTCGGCGACAAGCTCTAACTTTTCCGTCCTGAAATTGCACGAATGAACAGATGTCATAAACTCATCACGGTAGCATTCTAAGAACAAAACTTCCGGCTTCTCTGGATGCTGAGCGAGCAGAGATGCAACTTCCAAGCCACCGACTTCGGGACCACTGTTACGTTTTAGCGTCTCCAACCGCGTTTCATAACATGTCGTCCATGTCCAACTGCCTTCTTCCCACCTCCGAATTGTCAAGTCATTCGAGTCGTGGCACGTAGATACGTACAGTGCACCATGTGAGGTTGAGAAATGATCAAGACCATCACTTCTCCGAAAGAAGTAGATATCATCATCAACCGTGGTTGGACATACATTTAGGCAGAAGGGATCAAACCTTACTAAGGTTGCTTCGTTAGTTTTGCGAATAATCCAATACTCCTTCCCGTTCAAAGACACTGTAAGAGAATGCGGACAAGGATCCTTTCTCCTCGACCATTTACGGGACTCGGAACAGAACACTTGTAGTTCTGAACAATATCCCATCTCTGAATACGCTTCCTGTCGAACCAGAACGCGGAATTGATAGTCGGAATAGATAAACACTTGGCCATCACCCAGATCCAAGGTACTATTAGCCTTAGGGGCTTCTTGACAGACCAATTTCGCTTCCGTTGTTTCACACGACCTGCTCTTCGTTTCAAGCGCTAAAGGAAGGGCGACCCATTGCTTTGTGAACGGATTTGCAAATCAAGAACAGCCTGCCCAGTTCGGGATCGGTGTCCCACTGCCGCCCATTAAATCCACATAGAAGTAGTAAGTCCTTGAAGGAATCCCAAACTGTGAATTTGGATGTAATTTCTCCAGGCACGGGGAGGAAGCTCAGGATCGATGACAGGGGGTGGTCGTCGGAGGGAAAGAGCAGAGGCGGTTTGCCTCCGGTTTCGTTCTTGCTCCGGTGGTGGGAGACGAAACGGCGATTGAAGGTGGGATTGGAGATCATGGAGCTCCACCGCTTGCATATCGGTCTGCATCGGTAGGAGAATTTAGGGTTTGGGAGACGAATAAGAATCTCCTCGAGGAGATCGTCTCCCAGTTTGCTGATGGGATTGTCTGCAATTTTTGGACCCATTATCGCCGGTGACTAGGAGGAACTGGAACGAAGGGGCAAATCTACCTGCGAGATCATTTTGCATTTTTATAATGTCCACGAGATCATTCTCTGCCGTCTTCACCTTCTCGCATTCGATTGGGGATATAAGGGGTGGTTTAAAAGTTGTTATTGAGTCAATTCATATATTTATGAGAATAAGTCTTTTTTTTTTTACTTATATTGAACTAGAATACATGTATTAACTTTTTGGAGGTCCCATCACATTCACTCATAATTGAGTAATTATCGATCTCTATTTTTTGTTGAGATTCTTCACAATCACTCAAAATTAACTTTTGTGGCTTTACAACAAATCACAATCTAAGCCTCCAAACAAGATATTTCCCTAATACATCAATTGATTAAAAAAAATTGATAATACATCAAATGATAATACACTAATTGACTCAATATATCAATTTGAAGAATCATAACTTCCAAACAAACCCTAAGTAATGGTGGAGTGGAAGTTTGGTTTGCGGATTGCCGGTAATCCACAAATCGTATATATTGTGAGTAACCATACCCACAATTTGTGAATAGTGGGTTAGGTGTGGGTAGCAAAATATTGTTTTTGCTGATTAGCGGTTAACCACTATTTATAGCGATTAACCCACAAAACCCACAATAACCACAACTAAGTATATTTATTTGTTAATAATATTTGTAATTTATAATATTAAAGTATGTGAAAAGTAGAATGCTACAAATTAAAGTAGGCTCCAAAATCAAATATATACTTATTTTATAAAACAAAACCAAGTCAATACACCTTGTTCGTATAAGATACTTTTATTAAATAAGAATTGTCCGCGTGGTATATGTTTATTTTATAACAAAGCAAAGCCAATAAATGTGGTTTGTAGTTTATTTAACAATTTATTAACTTTCTTTTTATGTAGGTTTTTGTTTTTGTGTAAGAAGACGCTAATTTCGCAACTCGGGAATTCCACCTAAAAAATTCGAATAAAAAAGCAATGGAGTCATGCCGCTGATAAAGATGCTATGTATATATAGATTAGGTCCCCTCCAACCCATACTCGTTATCAATCCGCATTTTCTAAAGAAAGTGAAGTGACCTGTAAGCGAGTGAAGTGAACCGAGAAGAGGGAGGTTGACTACTTAGGAGGTTCCGAATACCGGGTCTTCGCTCGTTCCATGTCTTGGAGTTCTTTACTTAGTTTTAACACAATACTGTGGGGCGGGTTGTGAGTAGCATAATTCTATATTTGTGGGTGTGGTTACCCGCAAAATGTGGGGCGGGTACAACACCCACCCCAATTTCCACCCCTAGTTCTAAGTGCTTACTATTACATTCGTTCTCCGCTCATGGATACGGATTTGGAACCCAATCTCGTCATGGATCGAAGTAGTGGGTTGGACGGTCTACCTAGTACAATTTAACTGGGTAGGCCCACCAAGATGTGTTGCAGGCCTGTAGCCTGCAGGGGAACACCAGATATATGGAACCATGCCGCAATGCACCATGCCTACAAGGTAGTAAGTGGAGGTGGGGGTCGGTGGGTTTTCTCAAAATCAAGCAAAATTCAAATAGAAATTCTTGATTAATTTTGAATGGATTTTCTCGAGATTCGGTTCTATAAGGCACGACTTCGATCGAATAATTGATACCTCCTTCACATTAGCATAGAGCTCCTCTTCACTTTTTCATTTTCATGACTTCTCTACATTCTCTTTTTAATATGGTTACAGATTTTTTTTTGTTAGAGGCTCCAAATATTATTCTGTTCATATCTGGAACACGATCAAATCGTAAACCAGATTGAATCTATATATAATTTGATTCGCTTTACACGATAAAATTAATTAACTTTTTGGATGTATGACGTTTATTCACGAAGGTATGTGGCTATGCAAACATTTACATCCGTGAGTCAGGTATCATTTGCCTCCCAATTATTTTAACAAAAAAAAAGCATATCTCTCTTTTAGCGAGGGTTTTGAGTGCGGTGGAAACCCTAGGGTTTTCCGAGAAGGATAAAGCAAACTTTGACCTATTTTGCTGAAAGTAAGAAGAATATTCTCGTTGTGTTACGATCTACAGGTCAGAAACCTCACGACGCTCGTTAGCGAGACTGTGGAGAGGACTACCACAAGAAAAACCAGAGTGGAATGATTGCTGAAAGAAGACGTGCCGGTCAAGTCTTCTTTTTTTTGGGTAGAAGTCTTCTTTTGATTACAGTGTCCCTGAACAGAAAAACCGAATGGCGGCTTCGCTGGAATGTGATGAGATACCAGTGGAGGAGGAATCCACAAAAGACAACCTCAATCCAACAGACAAGATTGAGGAACAACTACACAAGGTCACGTTCGAGGAAGATGATGAGGAGGAACCTCTTGAGGTTGAAGATGGTGATGTCGACGTAGTACGAATGGAAGCGGTGAGACATCTAGGGCTTATTGGTCGCCTGGTGTCAGACAAACAACCAAATATTAAGTCGATGAAGATAGCATTATCAAAAGCTTGGGGACTGAAGAAGACTTACCATATCATAGATCTGCATAACAATCTGTTTGCCTTTCAGTTTTTGGACTTTGATGATTGAAACAAAATCTGCTATGGAGGGTCGTGGCACTATGAGAAATGCTTCATATTCTTTAAAGCCAGCTGGATGATTCATAAGCCAATCCTAGCTGATCTGCATGAAATAGACATATGGATACAACTTAGAGGCTTTCCAGCGGAACTACGGACCCAATCAATGGCGAAGAAAATTGCAAAGCGATTCGGGGAGCTAATGTTCTTTGTGATAGCGTTGAGAAGATGTGGGAAGACTACATGAGAGTTAGGGTTCATATGTCAATAAATAACCCACTCATGAAGAATATTGGTGGGAAGCTGATGGAATATCAAATCAAGTATGAAAAGCTACCACTCTTTTGCCACTCTTGTGGCAGGATTGGCCAAATTGAAAGTGAAATGTCCTCAACCATCATAGTTGGGGATTGATCCGTTTGGTTTGACCTAAGAGCAGCACCTCCAGTCCCACGTAACTAGCTCTCTTCAGGGGCAAGAAAAGTAGATGCAGACATTTGGAGGCAGCTAAAACAGAAGTTCGAAATTGAAAGCACGGGATCAAATCAAGGGATAGAAAAATCATGCGAAATAGAGACAAAACGCATGGATGCTGAACCTAAGATACAAGATGAAGAGAAGGAAGGAGCTAAGGCGACTGAAGGACAAGATGAAGGGCAACATATCTTGATAGAGAAAGTCTATAGGGCTGAGGATAATGCCCTGGAAAAGATACCCATTGAGCAGGGCACTGGTAGGAATGACCAAGGGAGACTAACTGAAACACAACAAAAAGCACCATCAGAATCAATATACCATAAAAGAAGTATGGGAGCAGTCCAGAGACTTATTATGGAGAAGAATGCCGAAACAGAACACCGGAAGCCGAGGGGAAAAAGTTGGTGGAGACAGGAACAAGCATAACGAAGAGAGGGAGGAGCATCACAAATAACTCATCAAAAGAGGAACTGAACATCCTAACCCGGTCGGGTACTACTTTTACTAAAATTCCCTTGATAAATTAAATACTCAAATCTTAAATTGCAGCGGGAAAATTTTTCATAAATAAAATATTGAAAACACACACTCGTAGCTCAGAGCCAAGCCCGAACACGTGGGCAAATTAAACTCAAACTTTAAATCTCAATCTGATCTCCAGTCTATACTCATAATCATAATAGTAAATAACTAATAATCTCTAACGTTGATGTTACTAACAACCTTGACGAAACATCCGTTGTGACGCTTATACTGCCCTCCTCTAGCTGTCTGCCCTCGAACTCGATGCTCACTAACTGCTCCTCTAGCTCTTCAAACTGGTGAGTGAGATGGGGTCAGTCTACGCCCATATGTTTTAACATCTGATTAATACTTGATCACTTTACTTAACTGAGTGGAAGTTGTTTTATACTTCCACAATTAAAAAGCTTAACTCTTAAAACTGTATGGGAGTTACTGTTACTCCATTCTTAAATCTCAAAGCTTGACTTAAATCCTTTGACTGACACGGGGATCCCTTACTAGCTAGTCCGGTTGCCAACTCATACGTATGAGAAGCCATCCAGGCTTTCCTTAAACTTAAACTTAGTTAGGGAAGTCGTATCGATTCATCCCCCTAACATCTTAAGCTTATCGTGGTGGCTCTTCACCACGATTCTCAAGAGCATAACTGCTGCTCATCTTAAAAGTCTCAAGAGCATAACTGCTGCTCTGTCTCAAAGATCTTAAGAGCATAACTGGTGCTCTATCTGAAAATCTCAAATGGCAACGGACAGGCGCTAGTAACTAAAAACACTTAAAACGACTTCACCTTCTTGTAGGTGAGTTGCTTCTTAAAAAGAACTTGTTTCTTATACTTTAACAATAACTTATACTCAACGATTTAAGGTAAATAGCACAAAATCACCTCAAATCACCTCAAATAGCACAAAATCACCTCAATCATAGATCAAGCAAAGCACAAATAATCAATCAATAAACATAATCAAGCAATGGTAACCAATTCGCTAAAATACTTAAAATCATAATACTTAAAAGAATATGTAAGGCGTAGAATTTACCCCATTTACACTAACCTCTAATCCGTTGAAACCAACTCTTAATCTGCTCTAAAATTTCCATACTTGCTCCAATTAAATTCTCCTCGTTCACACGATTCCATAGGCGCTGACGATTCCTCGTTCGGACGTCAATTGATCGAGTTATGACCAAAATAAATATTCTGTGAGCTTTAAAGTTCCAGGTACCGAAATTTCAATTTTTCCAGTCAACATAGTTGACCACGACCCTGCTGTAAAATTACCGAAATGATCCACAAACTTTTTGAATTGTCCGTAGCGGTACCTGAACTTGACAGATTTTCATCCAAACTTTCGATGCTCGTTTCTCCCTCGTCTGACGTCAGAATCCGATTTCGTCACGCGGTGATGACCCTGGGATTGCCCTTTACGAGACGATACCCACCACTTGACGAATGGTCAAAGTCGGCAACGCTGGGGCCGTCGACGGAGCTCTAAAACGTCGGAGGATACGCTGTCGTCAATGGTGGCGTGGAGGTTTGGCATTCGGGTAGGGACTTCCGGCGACCTGAGCAGTTACCGTCATCTGCTGCTGGTGAGGTGAAGACGTGGAGTTTTGGCGCATGGTGCCGGAGGAAAGACGAAGGCGTCGGTGGTTCCTTTCCACAGCTGGCCGCGCTGCTGCTTCTCTATCTCTCTTCGGGCCAACAAAATAATGGCGGTGGTAAAGCTAGGGTAGCGGCGGTGTCACAGCAAGGTGAAGGCTAGGGTTAGGGAAAAAGGGTTTCTCGGTTTGGAAGCTCGAACTGGGGAATTAATCAGGGCCGAGCGGTTCCTTTCCTTTTTTTAATAATAATAATAATAATAATAATAATAATAATATAGTAGTTATTATTATTATTATTCATAATCCGCAGTTGCAACCCTTCGTACGTAACCGTTAACCCAACCGTTCCCGTATTTTGGTAGAACCTGAACCCAAAGTCGGAGTGTTACATTTCCTCTACCCTTATAAAAATTTCATCCCCGAAATTTGATCGGGCTCATCCTTCCATACTCCTCATTCTCGTGCTTCTTTGGCTCAAGATTTCACTCTTGCTATATGAACTTCAATGATGTGCCCTTACCTTGCCTTGAATAGCTTACTATAGTTCTTCTTTGTACTCTTGACCATAACAGGTATTCTCATCTAGCTCGGTAGCATCGAATAGGTTTGAGTAACTCATTGCTCTTTTCAAAATTTTCCAACTTGGGCCCAGTACTTGATGTTGAACCTATCGAAGTCGAGGTATCACATTTCCTCCCCACTTATAGAAATTTCGCCCTCGAAATTTGTCCACTGTGATTACCCTAAGCATCGCTTGTGGTAATCCTTTTCACTTCTCGGATTTTAATTGCCTTTAACTTATACGACATGACCTAAAATCCTTCTCTCCATTCCCTGCAACTTCAATGTTGTTGTGGCTTCTTAACCCCTCACATTACCTCAGTTTCACCTTGTACATATATAGGAACGATAACTATCCATTGTTTGGTATACGAGACGTTAATGCTCCTCTTGAACCCCAGGGTTACATATGGTGGCTTATCCTCTATCCCATTAGATGGTAAAATTCCTTTAACGAAACTCTCGTCCGGAGTTGACCTCATAGGTCACCTAGGTCCTTGTATCTCCTAACTCTGCATCTCTTACTTTCTTCCTCAATGCCTCGTCTTATCCCTTAACCATAATTTGAATGGTCACCGCCTCGTTACTTGCTGTTTGGTGTTGGAACCTCATACTACTGTTTCTACTTCCTGTATGCATTAGAGGCATCCTTTGCGTCTTTCTCTAGCTTGCGATCAACTTTATTAATCCTTTCCAGAATCATGACCTTCAATTTTGCGTACTTGCTCACTCCTGGCACCTAACTTAACACTTCCTTATCATCGTTTACTTGGGAGTTCTCGTACAATCTCTTCTATTGTTCTTTGACCTTGCCTGAAATTTCTCGTACAGTTTCCCCGTCCAAGAAATTTTCAATCGAGAGATCGCCACATTTCATCCTCATAGGTGGTATTGCTTTCACTTTAGGGTATCCTAGCAGGTTCGCTAAACTCATATCCATCTTACTTCTTTACTCGTGACTCCTCTTACCGATGTTTCTCGCTAGTTCTATATGTCCCTCATCCTCGATGTAGTCATCTTGGTGCCCATACTCTCTTCTCACTTATGTACCTTGACCGATAAGGTTTTCCCTTCGACCGTTCTGGACCACCACACTTCTACTTTAAAGTTGACCATTGAGCTTCTCATATCCATCTTACTTCTTTACTCGTGACTCCTCTTACCGATGTTTCTCGCTAGTTCTATATGTCCCTCATCCTCGATGTAGTCATCTTGGTGCCCATACTCTCTTCTCACTTATGTACCTTGACCGATAAGGTTTTCCCTTCGACCGTTCTGGACCACCACACTTCTACTTTAAAGTTGACCATTGAGCTTCTCAGTTCTTGATGGGCTTCCTATGGTCCAACTTATTCTCCACTGGCAATCACCTTAACGCCTCCTTGTTGACCTTCGTATTCTTTCGCCGGCTCTTCCTACTATCTTTCTCCTTGAATTTGTTGTTTTATCAACTACCACCCTTTTCACCATAACTTTCATTATAGCCTTGTGGTTTCCTCCTTACTTCCACAACTCCTTCATCGATGCTTGGTACTAGCTTTGATCTACTCAATTTAGTAGCTCCTCGCCATACCTCAGAGCCAACATTTCCACTAGAAACTTTCTCTAGGTAGACTTGACAGATGACACCCACGACTTCTACTCACGATGGTGCTTGACCACGTCCCAACTATCTTCTTTCACGCATTCATTGTCCGGTCGACAACCACCTTTTTTATTTTATTTCCTATAGCGTCCTATGTTGTTCTCCCTGCTTCTTTACTTTTACTACTCTTCCGTTGTTTCTTTGTACTATATTTGGTCACCAAACTCCGTTGAATCTTCTCGTTATTGTTAGGGTTAAAGCTTCCAATAGAGGATTTCCTTGGGTAGGTTTTAACATACCTCATTCACGTCATTTGTCTCAACCGATGCTTGTACATAGCCTTAATCTCTTATTCATGGCTCTTAGTGGCTTAACTAAATATCACTAATTTATCCTTAACTGGCCTTCTTTTATGGATGACATCCTACTATGTCGTACTCGCTCAGAGTGGGGCACCTTGGGTAAGGTAACTTAATGATTTCCTCCTTCTTAGTAATGCTTTTCCTCGTCGTACTCCACTATGCATTTTCTTGAACACGAGTCGCCTACACATATTCTCAATCCTTCATCGGAACTTCCATGTGTTTCCTCGAATTCTCTGCCATTCACTAGAACATTTATTGAACATTCCACTTACTTGTCTATACTCGGTTGGCTTAATGACTTACTCTATAGCTAGTTCCAAGACCTCAGCTCTTAGCCCTCTAGTTCCAACTTAGTAGAGAGGTTCCTCCTTCTGCCACCCCTCATGTACCCTAGGAGGTTAGGTGTTCCCTCTATTTAAGAGAGGACAACCCCATAACAGATCATCGTGAACTCTTGCATACCCCTTCCAACGGTCCCAACATCCTCTTGACCTTTTGTGATCTGGGTAGTTTGTAGGGTCTCTACTATCCTCCTAACTCGGTGTTATCTTGGTATCCAACTCACGCACTTCTGAGAAGTGGTTCTCTATTTGTACTGCCATCTACTAGCTAACTGTTATTCTCTCCCACATTCCATGTTTTTTCTTATGTATTGACTTCCCACTGTCTTCTACCAGGCATGCTTTAGACTTTGGTAGCACTTTCCTCCACGTCTCGTCCAATGGTGGTCGTACTTAGACCATAACTTGCCCTCTACATCATTTATCTCGTTGCTTGTATTGTTCCTT